AGTTGCGGCTCCAGAGTATTTTTGTTGGGTAATCTATGGTAGGGCTAACCCATACAGTGGTGGGGCTCAAATCAGTATTTGCAATGTCATTACATACACGCTCCCCCCGACAGTGAAACGCCACGCGTGAGGTTTAGATTATTTCCCTGTCTCAATCCAAATTGAACTGTATGAAATAAAAAGGCACATTTGTCTTGTAGTAAATAAAAAGGGCGACCTGGAGCCAATCCTGCAATTTCCCCACAAGTGAAAGAGTTGACATGCTGAAAACCCAACCCCTGCAGGCGGGTCTGGGGGGATTCTCCCCCAGGAGATTTTTTTAAATACTAACATCAAATACACATTCTGGTACTCTCTTGAGAAAAAAAATAAATAAATCTATTACCACACGACATATTTAAAAAAATGAATGCCATTTTAGTTTTTTGTTACTTTGTTCTGAAAGCTGAACCTGCTGCTCCTCACAGAGAGAAGAGGGAAGAGGCTGTGTGAATTACTTTACATTGTGGATAAGGGTGGATAGCCCCCATTGTTCTGTGTGTCAAAATGAAAGACAGCCCACACACCTATCAATCATCAAACCGTGGGGTCTTATTTCATTACGTGTTGATTTCTATCAACACGTAATGTTGTGTCGATGTATAGAGATGTACTACCGCAAAAGTATTCTCCGTCGGGACTTCCTGCAACAACACCACGCCGTTATCGTGATTCTGATTGGCCAGAAGACATTATCAAAGATGTTCTATTGAGAAGACGATCACTACGTGACAAAAGTTTTCAAAACCGTTTCTAGTCTTCGGTATTCTTGTTTTTGGCGTGAGAATAGTTTGGGCAGCGTGAGAGCGTGAGGTTGAGAGTGAAAGCGTGTGTCACACGCCAGATGCGTGAGAGTTGGCAACCCTGGGCTAACTCAGTGCATATGTACAGCCTTCACGCCAGCTTATCTCTTCATCCACGTTATTGAATTCACAACCCAGCCATTATGGAAGAAAATGACAACATGGATAAAATAAGTGTAAACGCACACTCTGTGCACACACGTGCGTCGCGCTCATCATCGAGCTCAAAGGCTAATTTAGCACTGGCTATGGCTATGGCAAGGGCTGAAGCAGCACAGGCTAGAACATCACACTCTAAGTGGGAAATTGAGCTAAAAGTCGAGCAAGCACGCATTCAAACTACTCTTGATGCATTAAAGGAAGAAAAGGAGAAAGATGCTGCCATAGCTGAAGTAAAAATGTTGCAGGCTGGTTTACTAGAACTTGATGTTGAAGAGGCCAGCAGAGGCTCTAATCCAGTGTCTCAACACTTTATGTACCAGCGCACCGCTGCTTATGTGAAAGAGCAAACTAGCAGAATAGGTGGATCGCCTAGCAAAATTAGTGACATTGTTGCCCCCATAGGCCCACACCTAAATGAACCATCACAACATAGTAAAGGAGAGGATGTTAAGCCTACACAGTCCTACTCACTTAAAGGCCTTGCTCAAACACAAGCTGCTGTTTCTACCCAAACTACGCCTCACCACACATTAAAGGCTCCTCGACCTGGTACACCAGCACCGCCGTGGACTCTCAATAAGCAGTCTCCATTCTCTGCTTATCAGCCTAACCAAGGTACGCCCTATGAAGCCAGTTACTACAACCCTCAAACAACTAACGATCTGGCTAAATATCTTGCCCGCAGTAACTTAGTGACATCAGGCCTCACAACATTCGACGATCAACCAATGAATTATTGGGCTTGGAAAACGTCCTTCCTAAGTGCTATTGCTGGTCTGGATCTGTCTGTTGGAGAAGAACTCGACCTGCTCTGCAAATATCTGGGAAAGAGTCATCAGATCAGGTGAGGAGAATCAAGGCCGTCAACATCAGACACCCTGACGCTGGACTAATGATGGCCTGGGAGAGGCTTGAGGAAATATACGGCTCACCTGAGGTCATTGAACAGGCTCTCTTTGACAAGCTAGAAAGCTTCCCCAAACTGACCAACAAAGACCCAAAACGACTCAGAGAGTTAGCAGACCTGCTGTTAGAGCTTGAGGCTGCTAAGAGAGATGGCTCCCTCCCAGGTCTGTCATATTTGGATACTTCCAGAGGGGTTAAGCCCATCATCGAAAAACTCCCATACAACATCCAAGAAAAGTGGATATCTTATGGTTCAAGATACAAACGTGATCATCATGTCAGTTTCCCACCTTTCTCTGTCTTTGCAGACTTTGTTCGTACAGAGGCAAAAGCTCGTAATGATCCCAGCTTCAACCTCTCCACGACAGTTCCTATGGAGAAAAAGAGTACGTGGGAGAAATCCACGAAGATGCCTGTATCTGTTCACAAGACACAAGTGTCGTCTGCTGACAGATATGAAAGCAGAGAGGATAAGAAGCTAACAGACCCAAACAACCATTGTCCTCTACATAAGAAACCACACCCTCTGAAGAAATGCAGAAGCTTTAGAGAAAAGAGTCTAGAGGAGCGCAAACAGCTCTTAAAGGAACATTCCTTTTGCTTCCGGTGCTGCTCCTCTACTGGTCATCTCGCCAGAAACTGCACGGCTGAGGTGAAATGTATAGAATGTGGGAGCACGGGTCACGTGTCAGCACTACACCCAGGACCAGCAGTCTGGAAACCTAAGCCCTCTCCTCCCTCTTCAGAGCACGGCGGGGAGGAAGACAAAGCAGACTATCAGGTCACATCAAGGTGCACACAAGTGTGTGGTGAAGGTGTTAGCGCACGAGCATGCTCGAAAATATGCCTTGTAAGTGTGTATCCAGCTGGTCGCTCGGAAGAGGCCAAGAAAATGTATGCAATACTGGACGAGCAGAGTAATCGTTCCTTGGCACACTCTGAGTTCTTCAACGTTTTCAAAATCACAGGGCCTTCCTTCCCTTACACACTGGAAACATGCGCTGGACTAACTCAGACAACAGGGAGAAGAGCTAGTGGGTTCACAGTGGAATCAGCAGACAAAAAGTTAAGCTTTCCTTTGCCTACACTTTTAGAGTGCAACCAAGTTCCCAACAACCGCTCCGAAGTCCCTACGCCAAATGCAGCTCATCACCATGCTCACCTGAAGTGCATCGCCGACGAAATACCACCTCTCGATCCTAACGCTGACATACTCCTCTTGCTGGGCAGAGACATTCTCAGGGTCCACAAGGTCCGTGAGCAGATAAGTGGTCCAGACAACGCACCGTTCGCCCAAAGGCTGGACCTGGGATGGGTTGTCGTTGGTGACGTGTGTCTAGCAGGTGCTCGCGAACCACTAGAGGTGAACAGTTACAAGACGTCTATCTTGGAGAATGGTCGTACTAGCCATCTGCAGCCATGCAACAACCAACTCAAGGTAAGAGAAATCTTCAATCAAACCCCTGACTACACACATCATCCAGCACTGACCTCTAAGTTCAGCACAGCAACACATGATGCAGACAGTCTGGGTCAAACCATCTTCACGCAAACTGCCAAAGACCACAAACTAGCCCCATCCGTAGAAGATATGAAGTTTCTTAAGATCATGGAAGCAGAGTTTCATCAAGACAGCTCGAAGAGCTGGGTGGGACCACTACCTTTCCGGTTACCAAGACAGAGGCTGCCTAACAATAGGAAACAAGCACAAGATCGTCTTGCCTCATTGAGACGCATGCTGGAAAAACGGCCACAGATGAAAGCCCACTTTCTAGAGTTCACAGCAAAACAAATACGGTCTGACTGTGGCACTAACTTCGTTGTAGAGTTGCAAATGAAGACTACAGATCCCAGTGGCAACAACGTGGAGAAGTACCTGAGCACGCAGAACTGCACATGGGTGTTCAACCCGCCACATGCGTCCCACATGGGTGGGGCATGGGAACGGATGATTGGCATCGCTCGTCGCATTCTTGACTATCTGCTGCTTGAACAGAAGAAGTCTTCTTTGACGCATGAAGTTCTGCTTACGCTCATGGCTGAGGTGACAGCAGTCATCAATGCTAGACCTCTCATTCCAGTATCTTCAGATCCAGAGTCACCTCTCATCCTCACCCCAGCAATGCTCTTGACCCTCAAAACAGGCTCTACACCACCTCCTCCAGGTAACTTTGAAGAGGCAGACCTCTTTAAAGAGCAGTGGAAGCAAGTTCAGAGCCTGGCGGACACCTTTTGGAGTAGGTGGAGAAAAGAATATCTCAAGACTCGTCACAAGTGGCGGTCTAAGAGGTCAAACCTTCAAGAGTGGGACATTGTTCTCTTGAAAGACAATCAGGCTCAGAGAAACGAATGGCCTATGGCCACCATCACAAAGACATTCCCAGGAAGGGATGGACTGGTTCGTAAGATCGAGGTAGAGATCTCCAAGGACAAGACCAAAAGGATCTTTTCTCGTCCTGTTACAGAAGTGGTCCTGCTTCTGTCTCCAAAGACTGATTCTTGTTGATTGATCTGGGGTTTAAAAACCCCAGGCGGGGAGTGTTGTGTCCTTGATGTGTGTTTTTGGTGTATATCTGTCGTGCATGTGCTTTCTTGGCTGTGTTTTGGCACCACCTTGTGGTGGTTGTTTGACACTGCTGCTTTCTAGTGGTTTGTTCGTTCCCGGGTGTGCTCCACGTGTAGCTTGGGTTGTTTCATGAACGGACGTCTGGTCTCCATGGGCTGTGCTTCGTATTTCCCGCTGGTTCACGCATCGTCTGTGAGTGTTATTGTCCGACAGACTGTGGCTTCATGGGAATATGTTGTATGTAAAATGTTTATGTTTGTAGGAATGCAGTGAGTATTCTTTGCGGCTAAGCTACTAGCAGCTAGGCTGATTAGCTTCTCAGTTTGTGCACCGTAGCTCATTGTGTGAAGTATTCTGTCTATTTAGCTCATCAGTCGGGCAGTCAATAATAAACTGTTATGTCTGTATTGTCTTTACAGTTTCACCAAGTAAAGAGACTTCAGTAAAACTGACAACTGTGCTGGAGTTTTCTTTTAAACGGTTTAACTGGATGGATAGCTAGCTCAGTGCTAGTGAGACCCTTACAGCAACCATCCGGCTCGGCCTTTTGCTGCATATCATCTCCTCCCTCTCCACTTTCCATTAGATCTCTACTGTCCAATAAAACTGAAATTCCCCAAAGAATCATATTAAAAAAGTTAAAAACAATAACTTGCTTTTGGCATTGAAATGGATTAGAATCTCACAATTTTCCTGGATGTCAGGAAGTCCAGGAAGTCATTCCCTTCAAGTCCGCAGCCAGTCATAGGAGTTCAAATGCAAAGCCTGAACGATGACAAGAGTGGGAGACTTACATTTTACAATTATATTTTTAATTAATACCAGAGCAGTGTGTACATAGGCCCTGTACGACATGCAGAGAACAGATCAAATCCCCTGACAGGCTCACACACTTTGGTGATATCCTCTTCTGATCATTTTTCATTTTTTAGCAGCAAAGTAACATTACTCAAAGTATATGTCAGACCCAACTCATTTACAGTATGTTTTGCATCTCCTCAACAATGGTCTGTATCATTGAGTAGAAAAAAACTGTCCCTACAATTTCAGGTAGATTAACACACATTTGTAAGAAAGGTTTACAATGAAGCACAAAAACCCTCTTTGTATTAAGCGAGCTGCCACACAAAGTACAGCTTAACATGCTAACCTTGGGTAGAGAGCTGAAGTTAGCTAACTTCATGTTCAACACAAAACCTCTACATTGCATTACATTGACGATTTTAAACAAAACGTAACTCTCTCAACTTGTAAGATAACGTTAAGTTAAGCTAACCTTAAATAACTACATCACGTTTTTCAGGGGAAACACAAATTGCAAAAAACGTTAGCTGCTAACTGTTGTTAGCTAAGACAGCTAGCCTCCTAGCAAACGTAAGGTTAAGTTAACATTAACGTAACGTTGTAAGAAAGCAAAACGAACATTCGAGAAAGCTTTTACTCTCAGACTTGGTGAAATTGTGTATTGTTGCTTACCTCCAGAAGGACTTTTAGCGCGTTTCCCAGTAGACAGAGCTGTCAGAGCGGTGCCTCTCAGAAGAGCAGCCGCTGGGCGGAGTCACAGAAACGCTCAACTGATCTTCACTCCTCAACCGTTGTGCCGTTAGTGCCAGTCAAAACATACCGCTTTGTTTCAACCACTGCCGTCTCGCCGTCCGGCCGTGTCCCGCCCTCTCTGTCTGTCTGTGTCTGTTTCAGTTTAGCCAGCAAGACTGCTGTTAGACCAGCATAAATACCAGCTTCACCAGCATCCAGTTTAACTACCAGCTAAAACCAGTATAGACCAGCATAGACCAGCATAGACCAGCATGACATCCATGCTGGTCTATGCTGGTTTAGCTGACCAGGCTGGTCTTGAACCAGCCAGAACAGCCTGGCCAGCTTGTGCAGCCTGGTAAACCAACTAAACCAGCCTAAAACCAGCCTAAAACCAGCCTAAAACCAGCCTAAAACCAGCCTAAAACCAGCTAAAACCAGCAACCATCTTAAGCTGGTCTATGCTGTTTTTTTCAGCAGGGAGTAACGCGTTAGTTTGTAACACGTTAGTCCCAACACTGCAGGCGAATACAGTGATGTCCTCTCACAGTACCATGGAAAAGTGAAAGTGACCAGAGAGGAGTGATGATTGGTTAACGCGGGGTAACATTTCAGGGTAAGCCAATCAGAGACAGAGTTGGGCGGGTCTTGCCTTATGGGGAAAATACACAGACACACAAACACTTGCTAACGCACACACACATACACGGCAACGCCCACCACCAGCACACACACACACAATGGCAGATGCAAGTATCAACGAGAGCAGCAGCGCATTTACAACTTGGAGATATAACCACTATTTTCAATTTGTGGGGATAAAGGACGCAAAAAATATTACGGTCAAATGTAAACTGTGTGCAGGACAGAAAGCATTGTCCACATCGAATAACAGCAATGCCAATCTCCTGAAGCACCTAACTAATGTACATGGGGCTTAGTCTAATGGCGCGTTTCCACTACACGGCCTCGCTCGGCCCCGCTCGGTATGGCTGGGCCTCATTAGGACTGGCTCACTTTATGGCGCATTTCCATTACAGTTTAGGAACTGGGGTAGTATCTATAGTAACGCAGTGTAGGCGGAGCCGTGACGTGATCTTCAATGAGAACCCCAGAAAAACAACACAGCCGTTAGCTGTTAGCACTCAGAGCTCACAGCTCCTCATATCTGTTCAGAAACTAGACAAAAGTTAAACAAGTACAAACCACAGACTGCCTGTGTCATGGTGAATACAGTCGCTGCTTTATTTATGTCTGTATAGGCCGTTGTTGTGAGTGTGGACGGTCGGAGCATATACTGCGTTAGCTTAGCCAATCTCCATTTAGAAAACACGCATTTTAAAAGGTTTTTCGCCTGCCGTCTGTCTGCAGACTTGACAAAGCATTAATTCATGGTTTTTACTAACCGGTATCAGTATGTTGTTACTTCGGCATCATTTTGAAACGTGTATTACAATTAAATCACGGTCAAATATGTCCATCTTGTTGTAGTTGTAGCCCCCTTGCCAGCGATGCTCTCTCTAGTTTAGCATACTCAGCCCGACTCAGCCTCGTTGTCTCTGGCCCTAGACCCGCGATTTTATGAGGCCAGAAAAACTGTGAATTAGGACCCGCCGGCCGGTACTAGGCCAAGTGGAAACGCAACCAAAGACGGGCCGCTGACGTCACAGCCCTCTTAAACCGTGCTCCGCGCTGTAGTGGAAACGCGCCATTACTGTGCCACAGAACAACACAAAAACTTGTATTTTTATTGTTATTATTTTTAAAGTAAAGTAAAGTAACTTGCTACTAGTTACTTTTATAATTTAGTAACTAATAAAGTAACTAGTTACTTTTTTGAGAGCAGTAACTATAACTATTACTAGTTACTTTTTAAAAGTAACTTGCCCAACACTGCCTATAACTGAGATTTCATCAAAAATGTTCTCTAGCAAGTGTGCAGAGCAATTATGATTTAAAATAGCAATTTGAAGGTTGGATATTTGTAAACATTTTTGTGTGTACATTAATAATTTAAGATGTAAATTAATTCAAATTAAGTAATTTTTATTTCTATTGTCATTTAGTGGCATCAATGTTTGCATTGTATACAGATAATGGAGCAGTTGCTTTAGGGCCTCATATACAGTATAGCCCCAGAGGCGATTACACGGACTCCTTTGACCCCCCAGAGCGTTTCGTTTGCAAATCTATCCACCTTGGGACCCGTTATCGTTTGTGGGGTCCGTTTGTTACGGCCTCGTGTAAATAATAGGGCTATACGTAAGAGAAACTATGCAGATACAAGCCGTTTCGTTCTCGTGTAAATGTGGCCTCAGTGTCCTCTCCACTTTCAGATGAAGGGTCAGAGGAACTCAAAGAAATGCTGGACTCCAGAGAGCATTCAGTGTCAGACCCCCCCTCAAACCTTGTGTCTTCTTCAGATGAGTCCTGCAGCTCGCTGGCAGAAGAAGGCTGCAAGATTATTTCTGAAGTCTCTTCTGCACTGACATGCTTCTTCATTTGAGTTCCTTCTCTTTGCTCCAGGTCTTTCTCCTTCTCTGCTCACTAATGAAATAAGCCCTTGGTCAAACTGCATGTTTATCTTTGGCAGCCAGGTGCATAAACACACTAACAGTTGTTTTTTGTTTTTGAGTAATCAAGCAGCTCTTCAAAGACACATCAAACACATCCCTCAAAAGATGGCCTTTTTTTACCCATGAAATGATCCGTGCATGCTTACAGATTCTCACACACACACACGGAGAGGGAGGAGAGGTGTGTGCTGGTTGTGCACAGGCCTAAAATATTGTTGTTCTATCACCTGAGAGAGCACCAGGTCACATGCTACAGGACCAGCTGATCTGCTGCTGGAAATGACACACACACACACACACACACACACACACACACACACACACACACACACACACACACACACACACACACACACCACTCTCGGGGCCCCCTGGTAGTCACACGGCTCCATAATATAACTGGCAAAAATGTAAGAATTTAATGCATCGGCCTACAGTGGGAAAATGGTTGAATCTGGTGGAATAGAGTAGAAATATCAAATATCACTACTTTTCTTCTAAATGAAATGCTGACATTACAAAATGCATGGTTTTATACTGCAATGGCAGTGAGATAAAAAAATGTGGTTTGAATGGAAGCGCATTTTTAAAACATAGTCATTGTCCATGCCGGTTTCAATTGGATTATTTAGTCCTTAGTGATGAGTCCATGTCAGGTCCTCAGTGATGAGTCCATGTCAGGTCCTCAGTGATGAGTCCATGTCAGGTTCTCAGTGATGAGTCAGGTCCTCAGTGATGAGTCCATGTCAGGTCCTCAGAGATGAGTCCATGTCAGGTTCTCAGTGATGAGTCAGGTCCTTAGTGATGAGTCCATGTCAGGTCCTCGGTGATGAGTCCATGTCAGGTCCTCAGTGAAGAGTCCATGTCAGGTTCTCAGTGATGAGTCAGGTCCTTAGTGATGAGTCCATGTCAGGTCCTCGGTGATGAGTCCATGTCAGGTCCTCAGTGATGAGTCCATGTCAGGTTCTCAGTGATGAGTCAGGTCCTCAGTGATGAGTCCACGTCAGGTCCTCAGTGATGATTCAGGTCCTCAGTGATGAGTCCACGTCAGGTCCTCAGTGATGAGTCCACGTCAGGTCCTCAGTGATGAGTCCACGTCAGGGTCCTCAGTGATGAGTCCACGTCAGGTCCTCAGTGATGAGTCCACGTCAGGTCCTCAGTGATGAGTCCACGTCAGGTCCTCAGTGATGATTCAGGTCCTCAGTGATGAGTCCACGTCAGGTCCTCAGTGATGATTCAGGTCCTCAGTGATGAGTCCACGTCAGGTCCTCAGTGATGAGTCCACGTCAGGTCCTCAGTGATGAGTCCACGTCAGGTCCTCAGTGATGAGTCCACGTCAGGTCCTCAGTGATGATTCAGGTCCTCAGTGATGAGTCCATGTCAGGTCCTCAGTGATGATTCAGGTCCTCAGTGATGAGTCCACGTCAGGTCCTCAGTGATGAGTCCATGTCAGGTCCTCAGTGATGATTCAGGTCCTCAGTGATGAGTCCACGTCAGGTCCTCAGTGATGAGTCCACGTCAGGTCCTCAGTGATGAGTCCATGTCAGGTCCTCAGTGATGATTCAGGTCCTCAGTGATGAGTCCACGTCAGGTCCTCAGTGATGAGTCCACGTCAGGTCCTCAGTGATGAGTCCACGTCAGGTCCTCAGTGATGAGTCCATGTCAGGTCCTCAGTGATGAGTCCACGTCAGGTCCTCAGTGATGAGTCCACGTCAGGTCCTCAGTGATGAGTCCATGTCAGGTCCTCAGTGATGAGTCAGGTGCTCAGTGATGAGTCCATGTCAGGTCCTCAGTGATGTGGACACCGAGGAACCTGAAGCTGCTGACTCTCTCCACCGTAGTCCCATTGATGGCGATGGGGGCGTGTCCCTCTCTCTGCTGCTTCCTGTAGTCCACAATCAGCTCCTTGGTTTTGCTGACGTTGAGATGGAGGTTGTTATCCTGGCACCAAGATGTCAGGTTTTCGACCTCCTCTCTAGACGCCGTCTCGTCGCCGTCGGTGATCAGGCCGATGATGGTCGGGTCGTCGGCAAACTTCACGAAATCTAAGACCATTTACATGTAAAACACAAAGAAAACATGTCATTTTACTTTGCAAAAGCCCAAGTTTACATTAACTGTCAGATGTTTGTAGAAAAAAATCACAAATATATATATTTATATATACAATATATTATTGAAAATAATAATATACATCACAAAAACAATAAATAAAATATATTTTAATAATAAAGCAGAATAGACCGGCAATGAAACATTTCAACATTTAACAATAGCCAACATTTTCCCAACATTTTGTTCAAAAGATAACAATTATAAACACTAAAGAAATCTAGCAGTTATGTGTGTGCGTGTGTACATGACTGTGTGTGTGTGTTTCTACTCTCTCCATTCAAAGTCAGCGACGTTTGTAATTAATGAACAGAGATGGGGTCGTTACTAAAAAAAAGTAATATATTACATATTACATATTACTTTAAAAAAAAGTAATATATTACACTACTTCGTTACTCTCTACATAAAGTAACTCGTTACTTTACTCGTTACTTTACTCGCAGGGCCGGCCCGCCCCTCCCTGCAGGCAGATCACGCAGACTGCTAAAGTTTCAAATGTTCTCTTTAGTTCAGTTTCCATTGTCGCATAAGACT